GAGAGAGAGAGAGAGAGAGAGAGAGAGAGAGAGAGAGAGAGAGAGAATATGATTGAATCCAGGGAGGAAAGGACACTGGCTAAAGCAGCTCAGCAAGTTAGAGGGTAAAAGTGAGAAGCTTTGGAGCAAGTAGACACAGATGTGCTCCTTGTCTTAGACACTTCATTTTATCCTGAACAATTAATGTATTTCCAATGATTGTCACTTTCCACATATATAAATGGGGACAATAATATCTAATTTAAAGAACTGATTAAAGCAGATACTGCACAATGCCCAGAACACACATGGTCTTGGTAGATGACCCTCTGCATATCCTCTCCATCTTCATTCTCATTGTTAGCTAACAGTGGGAGAATGGAGTGGCCTGGGGACTCAGACAGGGACCACTATAGGATGGCAATAGCAAGAGCCACAAGGGTTCAGTGGAAGTGGGGTGGCATAGATTAAGCCCAGCATCAGGTGACGTCCAACATCATCCCCATCCCAGGATTGGGAGCAGAGAACACAGAGCCTGGTGAGGGCATTGTGAAACAGGGCCTGATTTTCTAGCCCAGTGTATGATTACAGGACTACAAAGAACAGGCGGCACCTGCTATCTGCATTGCCAACAGCTGTACAAGGGGAAGAAAGAGGGGTCAAGTCCAGCGAGATCTTGGTGACAAAGAGCTGTTACCTTGTTGGGGAGTAGGAGGATACTATTAAGAGGGAGAGACCTCAGCTGGGAGCTCAGCAGGGAAGCAGCCCAGAAATGCTAATGCGAAAGGAGGCTGTGATCCAGGGTCTGCAAGGTCACAGGGTCTGATGTGTTGTCAATAGGGATTCTGAGGTCTTGAGAATCCCTGGCTGGCCAGAGATGATATGGACTGAAGTTATCCAAGGATGAAGAATGAGGCCATTAGGAGGGTCAGTGGTCAAGAAAAGCCATGATGTGAAGAGCTGGCCTTGCTAGAGTTAGCATGTCCACCAGGGAGAGGGATATGTTCTGATGGGGGATATGGAGGGCAAGATCTTGAACAGAGACGAGCACATTGTATTTGGCTTGAACTTTATTTATTTATTTATTTATTTATGTATTTATTTATTTATTTGTACCAGGGGGAACTCAGGACCTTGTGCTTGTGAGGCAGGTGGTGGCACCACTGAGCTAAATCCCTGGCCCCAGTTAATTTTTTAAAAAATTGGGCCATCACTTAAATCTTTTAATGAAAAAAAATCTTGATTTCTGGTTACTATAGAGTAGGATTATCTGGAAACCCTGTGTCTGTATTCCCGTATTCCTGAATGGCTACTTCACTGTTCTCTTTAGAAGGGGATAATAACTTAAGTTTGCCACACTCTCCATTGTCCCCTGTTGATTCCCAGCCTTGATGTTAAATGTAATTTAAAAACTATCCTTGAATTGTCTATGGTAGGAAAATATTTCTATGTGTGTATAGAAATATACACCTGAATGCATTTGAATTAGTGACCTTGATTTGGAGCAAGAGCTGTACCAGTGAAGCTGGGCTCTTACCAAGTGGTGGAAGAGAGGATGCTAGTTGTCCCAGGAGCACTTCTTGGCCCTAGTACCAGGTAGAGAAGGGACATAGATTTTTTTTTTTTGTACCAGGGATTGAACTCAGGACCTTTTGTTTGCAAGGCAGGCAGTGGAACCACTGAGCTAAATCCCTGACTCCAAGAAGGGCCATAGAGACTGGTGGAACATAGTGAGGGTGTGTATGGGTGGGTCATGGAAGTGTGAATTTGGGAGTTTATGTCTGGTCCCTTGTCCCTTCCTCCATGGTACTATTTCCTGACTGTTCCCCAGATACCATGAACTAAGCAGCTTTGTTCTACCATGTTCTTACCATGATGTTTCTGCTTTGGAGCCAGCTAGTAACTATGGACTGAGAATTCTGAAACTGTGAGAAAGAATAAACCCATCTTCTTTTAAGTTGTGTATGTTTAGTATTTGGTCCCAGTGATGAATAGCTGACTGATACAACCTCCTACTATAGAAATTGAAAATATCAGATTTTCTGCTTTCAATTCTGTCTTGGAAAAGGGCAATGCCTAGGACTCAATTCTGGGCAATGGGATCGAGCGACAGTTTGGTGAGGGACTTTGTGGAAAGATTTTCTTCCCTAAACAAGCATGGGTCATGAAAGGGAGTATCTGCAGAACAACTAAACCATGACACCCATCTTGTGCTTGTGTGAGGACAACCTAAGGACCAGCCAGAGGAAGGCTGCCCAGAGCTGGAGTCCTTAATGCCTTGTTTTTTTCTTAATGCATTTTTTGAGGCATGAAAGCAGGCTTGCACTATCTACCTCTGGGATATTTAATGTAGAGTAATACGTTTTCCTCACTGATTAAGCAACTTTAAGTTGAGTATTCTGTTATTTGCTGTTGAAAGCTTAGTAATGGATAGAGACTTCATCCAGAGCTGGGCTTCTAATGGGGGGGCAGGGGCAAGAATGTTGGGGGAGACTTCCAGCAAATGGATAAACATGGTGTATTTTCCTAGAGTGTCCATTTACCTCGATGATAGCTTAAAAGTACTTTCATGTGAAAACAGATATGGATATTGGTACAGAGAATAAAATTCATGAGATAAAAGAAGATCTTAAGACTGCTCCTAGGCAAGGATCTCAGACCTTGGGAATATTCAAAGATGCAAATAAACAGTGTTATTCTTTCTTTTGTTGAACACCAATAATCTAATTCTAAACTGTAATTGGTGTGATTAAGTTAGACACAAGAAGGGATTGTATCTATTGTGATTATTACAGAATCTAAACTGGCAGAGAGACTGGACAATGGAATGTCAGAGCTTTGGAAGTTTTAAAGAGAAGAGTATTCAAGTGGTTTCAAATACAGTTTTGTTGGGACTGGTTTTCTCAACTTTCTAAGTCCTTGCCAATGTCTTGCCATTGTTTTGTACTTGTGAAGAATATGGATTTTTTCTCCCCTTAGATGATGATTGCATTTCAGACCCACCAATGTTTCTTTGGTGACTTATCTTTTGTTTTAATTTAATATGATAGTCAAAAGGCTGGAGCTTTTCTTTAAGTGGTTACTTGAACAAAAGCAGAAAATTGCCAGGAGTCAGCCAAATGTTGAGACAGATTGTAAATACCTGTAGGGAAAGTATTTAAGCATTTCCGATAGGAAGGATATTGTAAATTTTACACTCGGAGGCTCTGCATCAAAGCCCAAATCCTAGCTTTTCTTCCCACTCTGAGTCTTCTTAGACAAGGTCAGCACAAAGGATCTACTGTTTCCACTGGCATTTACATCACTACTTTATCTTGTTATTCCTGATTTTTTGCCAATCATACTGAGAATTTCTCAAGGGCAGTGAACAAGAATAACCAAACCAACTTTGCCTCCTTGACAGTGAAGAATAGAAAGAAAAGACTCTCTTCCAGCGACAGCCTTTTCTTCCTTATTTTTGCTGTATGTTTTAGCTTGACACTCTGTCTTTGACAACCCTAGGAGACCAAGCTGATGAAAAGCTGAGTTAATTTTCTCTTCTACAACTCAACCTCATATTAAGGCCTTTTTTTTTTTTTTAAGTAGGAATTTTGGAAAGACATTTATTTAGGGACCAGTCCTAGGAGGCTTTTTAATTGGGTTACAAACACAGATGCCAGGTCACTAGACAGAGGATGTGGCTGCTGCCTTTCAGTGATGGCAGAATAAATGGCTGACAGTAAGAGGGTGGAAGGAAAGATGGGATTATCTCAGATTATTGTTGTCCCAGAAGCATCTGCTTCCCCTTTGAGGAATATTTTTGTATCCTAGCTCATTTTTTCAGACTAGGCCTGCTCTGCCCCAGCACTTCTCTGTTTTAACCTTCAGTCTTTTAGTAAGCCAGAATGGGTTCTTTCTGCCTTATCCACTCATTCGGTCTTTCAACAAATTCACTAAGTGCCAATCATGATTGCAACAGCTGACATTCTGTTTTCTCATTAGGAGGGGTGGAGTGGAGTGGTAAAGAGCTTGGAGCCTGAAGTCTGATTGAGGTTTAACACTGGCTAGCTCAGTTACTAAACCTCTGCAGGCCCTGGCATAACAGCACCGACCTTTTTGCGAGGATTGAAGGCACTGCATACACAGAGTTCAGCCCAGTTAGAATCACTGTTGTTGATATTATCATTGCCATTAGTGCTCAGGGACTCATCAGCACAGTAGTTCTATCATGAGGTTCTCCTTTCCAAGGATTTCTTTACATTTTTTATTCTTTTCTAAGTTTATCTCTGCTCGCCTCAGTGGGTCTTTAAGTGGACATTCAACACCTGTCAGGTGGCTTGCAGTAGTTCAATGCTGTGGGGTGACAAAAAGACTCACTGGTTTTTCTAGGGAGTCTTTTGTTGGAAGGGAACTGAGTGTAGACATATCCAACACCAGGTAGTTACTGGGCTTTGGTGGTCACTTCTAGAGGTGATTTCTAGGTTCTTTCTGTCTGGAACAAAGAATTGAACAAAAGAAGCGTAAACAGTGGCAAAATTTAACGTTTATTAAAGGTAAGAAAAAAGATCTGCAGAGTGAGTTTGGACTAGGTAAAAAAGAGAGAAAAAAATACAGCGTAGGGTTGGGGGTATGGTGAAGAGCCCATAGCCAATGCTTAATGGCGACTGCCACTCTTTTATATTTCCCCTGCTGGAGTCACATCCAGATCATCTTATCAAAAACCGATCGAGTTCTCGCGAGAAGTTCAAATGCCAGCCGTTGAGAACTGTTCTGCGCATGTGTCCTGGGATTACTAGATTGCGCCTACTTTGTCATCCAGTTTTAGCCATACCCTACCTTCCTACCTCAGTAGGATATGATTTGGTGATTCTATATGCTAACCTGTAGAGGAGAGTCTGTATTAGGAAAGACGTGGAGAAGAACTGCGTTTCTCCTCTGCTATGCATTAGAACTCTAGGTAAGCCACTGCCCTTCTAGGATCTCTTTTCCTGTCTGTAAAGCCATGGAGCTGCTTAGCATTTTTCAAAATTTTAGACTAGCATTGACAGTAAGAAGTGTCCACAATTTTTCATTGTGATCCTCATAACCATGCGTATAACTGAAACAAAAATTTTGCCAAACAATACTTGCCCTTACTACATGAAATTCTCTGGGTTGTCTATTTCCTTTAAAACTCAGCTATAACCCGTCATATTGACTTGCTGACCCTAATGATTCAGTCTGACAAATCCTGGACTAGATGTTTCCTCAGGGGCCTTTCAACCTGAACTTTATGCAATTTTAGATCTACAGGGGCTGGACGGGTTTAAAAGAAGAAGGAATAATTAATCTCCTAGGGTAATAACTGGTGAGAGCCCAGCTAGATTAAATTTAAAAATTGTATATATGGTTGGCTCCCATATCGGCTTCCTAGAATTCAAGGACATGGTTTAAAGGAAAAGAGGAGGCTAATTGTTGGGATTCATTTGCTGGAGCATGATGAGGCTACAAAGGGTAAAAATGTTCATTACTCATTGGATTTGGGCTTTCATTTGTGGAAAGAGAAGTAATAATCCTGTCATTGAAGGTCATTCCCGAGTATGGGAATTCTGGAAAGAATCCACTTTTCTCAGGGAGAAGCTAAACAAAACAAAACAAAACAACACCCAGTTTGTTTTAATCCCTAAATGGATGCTGTCCTGTGAGTGAGGGGACTTGGGAGAAACAACTTCCCTGCCTAGGTAAATGTTTGTTTTTGCCCTAATGTGTTTGTGCCTTTGCTTGACTGCTTAACAGATAGGCATCTAGAAACACAAACTTCAGGAGAAACTGAAAACAGGACAACAAACAGAGCCCACCACCCAGCCCCAAACAAAATACCAACATGTGACCTCCCATTTAACCCATTTTCAGACTGCCAGCCCTTGAGTTTACTTTTCCTAGAGGAGCCCCCACTCACCAGAGGCCTCCTTGGGACTGTGCTCTGTGTGTGTGGGTGGGTGGGGGGTTGGAACATTCAGCAAGTTCTATTGAAACACTTTATGTTATCCAGAGTTAATTGGAAGATGTTTCTCTCTTTCTATGTTTTAACAGATAATTCTGCCTTGTCCTTTGCACCTAAGGAAACTCCTGTAATACTCAGTAACTTTTCTCCTGAGATCTATGGCTCTTGTAAAGTCTATGTCTTTCCAAATGCTTCCTTCAGTCTGGAACAAGGGCCTGATCAACACTGGAGGAGGAAGCCCCTTAGGGAAAATAACAGTCTGAAGGGTCATGGAGGCAGCTTTGGCTTGAAGTCAAGGCTTCTTTCCCAGGCTTTCCAGCTGTTATCTGCCTTCAATTTTGGTTAAGATCACAGACTTGGGGTCAGTAAGTTGTACATGTCACTGAGCCTGCATGCCTCTGTAAAAATGTGGTTAATAATGGTAGGGGATCTATAGAATTAAGTTATATATATAACATATAACACATAGAAAATGTTTACAATACATGGTATGTTATTCAGTAAAGGGCAGCCAGTAAGGTTAGTGTGGAACTGTTCATTATTTTAGGAAGAAAGTGACAAATTCAAAGATGGAGATAGAATGAAGCTAAAGAACAATCACTTGCCTGAGGCCATTTGAGGAAAAAAACCAAGAAGGTATGAGATCCTATAACCTAGCCTGTCCATCCAGCCTTAACAGGATGTGAGACAGGATGCCACACAATCATTTTTTTTTTTTTTGGGTATGTTATAGTTCCAGAGCATTACACTTTTAATTACCTTTATTTAAATAACAAGCACTTTTATTAAATAGTTAAAGGCACAGATTCTCAAATGCTTTCTTGTTTCTAAACATTTTCTTTTCTTTTTTTTCTCTTGGTTTTTCAGTTATTCTTTTTGATATTTTCTCTTTAGTGTGTGCATTCTCATTCTGCTTCGGGGATATAC